GATGTTCTCACAGTGGTGACTGAACTTTACTGCCTTTTGGAATGTGATGCTATGTATGTAGGAAGTGAGGTATTCACTCATTATGAAGAGTTCTACCTTCTGGGATATAACGTACTACTGTCCACTGAAAGTCAACCAATTTTGAGAAACACGTCACCTCCATCTTCATGGTCAAAGAGCAAAGCCAAGAAGGAAACCAGCACAAAGCAAGCAGAGAGCAGAGCCGGTTTCTTGCTTGACTTAAGTCTTCAACACTGAAGATGGAGGCATTATATGCCTCCAAAACGTTCTTGGTTCTTGACTTTCACAAGAATACACAGTGTTACATCCCAGGTGACTGTTTTTATTTTCCTCACTCTTTAAGTGCAGAGTACATCAAAATAAATACCAGTCTTGCCAATAACTTTTTTCCCATGAAGTTCAATTTAATATGCATAGAATGTAAACTAGGGGAAGATTGAAATTTCATATAAAAATCGAATAATTTTTAAAAAAGACAGCTCATTCTATAAACACATTTTAAACCACTTTGGGCATTGTACCTCAGAAGACTTTTTAAGAACTGCTTCAAGATTTCTAACATTAGTTTTCTTCCTGTTAAAGTCATATTGGGTGATATCACAAAATACACCCACATGTGCAATAAGATGATATGTATTTATGTACATACACTACATGCCCACAACCGCTAATTCAAACTAAAACATTTAATATAACAGATGAAATCCAACTATATACAAATTCTGCAAGTTTGCCAACTATTTAGGGGAGCACATGCCTAAACAGAATGAAATATGACAATGTTCTCAACCAGGCAAACTTCGAGTAGTGTGCATCATCATGTTAACTCCCAAACCTGTTCATAACACAAAATGCTGCAGCAATATAATAAAAATGAAATTCAGCATTATAATTTAATTTCTATAATAGCCACTAAACAAAACAAAATACAAAATTCTAACTCCTATCCTGTAACAGATATTAATATGAAAAAATTACAATTTCAATTCAATTTTTATAACATCCATTAACATAAATAAAATTAAAAATTTGAAATCCATTTGTGTAACAGATACTGAGAAAAATAAAATAAAAATTTCTAATTTCATGTCTACAGAAGTCATTAATAAAATAAAATTCAAAATTCTAAATACACTTCTGTAACAGCCATGATATAACTAGGCAAATGATGCTTAGTTGTCGGGCCCTCATTTTTTCTTTCTTTCAGTGCATAAGCATGCAAACAAAACCCCACATGCTTTAAAGTGACAAAGATATATGTTTTCTTGTGTCTGATACATATTAGTAAATTATACTAGTTTACCACAAAATACAATCTAAAATCTAACCTCCCTCTGTTGAAATATGGTGGAAACATTGTTCTTATCCAAACCAACCCAAAAAGAAGTCTAATTTATATTTTGAAACTGATATGTGAACTATATATAGCTGATATCATCAGTCTGGATATCAATTTAAAACACACAAACCACTCTGAAGTCATAGGCACAACTAAGAGAAAGGAAATAATGACATATAACTATGGAAAGGTAGGTGGGGGGGGGGGAATGTAATGATTGGTTGACAGTGGTTGGACAGTGCTTCTGCCTGCAAAAAAGGCCTTGTAAATGATTCTGTTCTGAGAGAACCTGAAAGAAATCTTGTGAATGCCATACCTCTCTGCATTTCCCATAGCAATAGAAACTATTCCTAAGAAACAATCTTACTGAAGGGAACTGGCCCTGATATCTCGGCAAAATATAATTTATAAATTTTCATAATAAAACTGTACAGCTACTTCCCTAGATTTATCACATTCTGGGAAAACCACCACCATCATATTTATTTGTAAATGGGACACTATCATATTTTGGAAAAATTATGGGTGCTTTGTGCCTTCATGATATACAAATCCACTTATTTTCAGATGCCACTACAATCTGACTTTCATATTCACTCACATGTATAGTTGTCTGAAATCAGGTTCTGTGAACTACTTCAGATAAAAAAAATACAGCCATATGGTGGGATGGTCTATGTTCAAAGGTGTATACATAATGGATTGACATTAAATGACCCTCATGTCAATTTGTCCATTGTGCACAAGGAATAAACAAAAGGCCAATTTATTTTATTCCATATAAATGTTTACTGTCAAAAACACTGCCTTAAAATGTATCCACATGGGATTTACACCTCAAATTCCACTCCAAAATTATAGAATAACAGAACTGTTTTCTTTGAAAAAATTTGTTTCCACGACATGTTTTATAAAAACAATATACAAAACAAGTCAACAGAATATTCAATTTATGTACCGGTATTAGTACTGATTTTTCAGCACTCCTGAAATTAAATTCTATGCAACAGGAAAAATATCCACCAGGAAACTGCTTGGTGCTATATGAATAAACTTCCATTAAGCCATAAACTTGTTACTGATGCTCTGAACGCAAAAATTGCTGCAGTTGCTATTAATGTAGAAACCTGGGGTACTTCTTGATAATGATTTTTCTCAGCAGCTATAAAAGCTTCAACATTTCCTCCAAACAGAACACTTAACACTACAATTAGCTGGGTTTGAGCACTGATTTTGGGGTGCACATTTTTCAAAGATACTGCCTGGATTCACAAGCCATTAAACATCTTCCTTTATATAGCAATCTGGATTATTCAGCACTCCTCCCATGACAAAGCAGACCAGTCTGCTTTTACCGGTTCTCACGGTCTCTTTGCTTGCGGATTTCTTATATTTTTCCTTCTACCCTGAAGATGGAGGCGATACATTCCTCCGAAACGTCGGTTAACACCACATATACACGGTGCCAAATCCCAGAAGACTGCTTTCTTTATGTAATAAGTAACTCACATAATTTTCTTCAAAAGGAAATTCACTTTCATTAATTAAACCAAGTAAGTATTAATGTATAAATGTATGCCACATGATTCAATGTTCTTGTTCCTTATTAACTCACTACTTACATAAGCCAAACCTTAACTTCCTCTATGTACAAATGGGGGAGATTAATTTAATGTTTACAATTTCAAACTGTTAGAGATGTGTGCATATAGAAGTTACATAAGCTGGTAATAAGATTTGCAAGCCAAAATAATTGCCCACCTCTTATCTGTAGTTATGGCATTAGAAATAAGCAGCAATCATCAAAATTGACAGCATGTTCAGTAAAACCAAAATGAAGCTAACTGTTTCGCTGCACCATGCACATTCTCAACAACGGCCAGATTATTAGACACACATCGGTTTACTAATGCTGAATTACCTATGTAAAGTGTTTCATAAATAGCTGCAAAAGTGGAAAAAGAAGCCTACTTTAAAGGGGATTAATTCTGCATGTCTAAAGTTTTCAGAATTTCTGCCTCAATACTTCATGATCAGGTCTCACAGACTATCTACTCATTAGATCCACAACAGCGGGACATACCGTATGTCCAAAAAGTATCCGACAAAATTTATTCCGCTGTAAGTAACGAATGGCCAAAGGGGTGGGGAAACTGAGCGTAGTGGTAGGAGGGACTTTCATGCACATGCGTGATATTTTGCTGACTCGCAACACTGCCAGATGTGTCTGTGGCTGCCAGATAGCAAAGTGGTGTAACGCGTGTTAGTCGCATTCTCGTTTCGCTCAAGATGACAGAACACTTGGAGCAGCTATACTGCATCAAGTTTTGTCAGAAACTTGGTGATACCCCAGCGGAAACAATTTGCAAAATTCAGCAGGCTTTCGGCGATGATGCAATGGGGGTCACTCAAATTAAAGAGTGGATCAACCGCTTTAAACATGGCCGTACGTTGGCAGACAGTGAGCAGTGTTCCGGGAGACCCTCAACGAGCAGAAATGCTGATGTCATTGAAAAGGTGCAGACACTGATCATGTAGGACCGTCCTTTGGCCATCTGTGAAGTTGGTGAGGAGGTTGGGATCAGCAGAGGTTCCGCAAACACAATTTTAACTGAGGATTTGGGCACGCGAAGAGTGGCGGCAAAATTTGTGCCCAAGCTGCTTTCGCCATAGCAACAACAACACCACCTTGAGGTCGCGCAGGACATGCTGGAGTGTGCCAACAGGGATCCTGTGTTCCTGAAGACTGTGGTCACTGGTGACGAGTCCTGGGTGTACGGATATGACCCGGAAACCAAGGTCCAGGCATCACAATGGAAGCATCCAACATCCCCAAGGCCCAAAAGAGCACGACAGGTTCGGAGCAATGTGAAGGTGATACTGACTGTTTTTTTCAATTACCAGGGTCTTGTGCACCATGAGTATGCACCATTAGGCCAGACTGTCAATAAGGAGTACTACCAAGAAGTCCTCCGCCATCTTCGTGATGCAGTACGGCGCAAGAGACCGGAGCTGTGGGATGCACGCAACTGGCAGCTGCATCATGACAACGCCCCAGCTCATTCAGCGCACCTGATCCAGGGTTTCCTGGCCAAGCACTGCATTCCACAGGTTTGCCAGGCTCCCTACTCTCCTGACATGGCTCCTTGTGATTTCTGGCTGTTCCCAAGATAGAAGACACCGCTAAAAGGCTGCTGTTTTGACAGCCGTGAGGACATCATACAGAATGTGACGGCACAGCTGCATGCCATTCTAAAAGAAGCCTTCCAGAATTGCTTCCAGCGATGGAAGGACCACTAGGCTAAGTGTGTGGAGTCACAAGGGGCCTACTTTGAAGGGGATTAGGTATTGTAACCACCCAGATACAGAACTTTTTTTCCCCAGCCCAAGGTCGGATACTTTTTGGACAGAGTAGTATCTGCATGTTAAGATTACTAAAAGTTAGAATGAAACTTCCTCACTGGAGGCACAACCAAGAATAGGTCAGTGATTCTCCAACAGATACTGAGGTTGAGATAGTGTGTTGGGCGTTCAGGCTTATTGCAAATAATAGCGTTCAAACTTAAGATGTGTTTCTAACAGACATAAGCAATAAAACCTGTTCACCCATTTCTACATCCTCTAATTCATATTCTCTTACCTTGCTGCAAATTCACCTGTTGAGAAGCGGATGGTAGCAGTGGATTTTGTAATGGCCACAACTCTTCCACCACAGTTTACAGAGAGTTGTTTCAAGCGATTCCTGATGCGACTTTGGTCCTTGTCCTCAGGTAGATTTGAAACTATTACTTCCACTGGCTTATTACTTGACTGGAAACAAATGGGATTTAGGAGAGAGGTCTATTAGCTAGGAAAGACAGATAAGAGGCCAAACAAGAAAGAACAACAACCATGCCTTGAATCTGTTTAGGAAAGCATATCTGACTATGCAAAAAAATATATACACTGAAAATAAGGTAGAAAATGTAAATAGGATGAGAATAAAAGAAAATTCTAACCACCACATTTATCTGAACACTACACACAACTTTTGTTTAAATTTTTCCTTTTGAAAATATGGTCAACCTGTCCAGAATTTTCAACTATAATTGATATTTACATATAAGTGATCAGAATAGATCTTGTAGTGCTGCAGTCTATTATATGAACAGAGGCAGATAACTCAAGCAATGTGAAATATCTCACTAGTTTGGTTTCACAGTATGTTGTTAACATAGTGTGAGTGCAATGGTACTGAATCTTCAAAAGTTTATGACAATGTTGATCATGACATAATTATGTTGGACACTACCCACTGTGATATAAGGCACATACACGATGCTTCCAATGCTGAATATGCAACATAAACATAAGAGCTACAGCTATTACTTAAGGTGGCAGACCAGAAATTACTACTTTATTATCCATTTCACAATATATTACTTACTACTCTTACAATATTGTATATTTCTATGAAATAACTAATGGATGAAAAGTTAACTTGTCAAAAGTTGTTACTGATTAGCTCTGTTGGTTACAAATGCATCTCTTAGGACTAAAGTAAAATATAACCTGAATTCTAATCAAGGGTTCTTTGAAATCACAGCATATGATCTGAAAACAATGTATCTGAACTTTTAATTCTGTCATGGAACAAATCTTAGATCTCTAAAATGTATCCCTCTGCCAACAAAGTTAATGTATTAAAACTGTTTGCACAACCGCAAAAATAAATATCTAAAGGTTTAACACTGCAACTACAAATGTCCATTACGGAACTCTATCCTGAGCTAGCTTGATCCAGATCTCTTCGCAGTCTTAAATAAATTCCAATCATGTCTTTATCTCAGACATGAGCTGATTCCAGGAGGTTTGCCTCCAACATTCCCATGAACTTTGTCTCTTACACATACAACTTGGACATACAGTATGCTGATCTTACACTACCTTTGCATTTGATATAAAATTCCTTGTTTCAAATAATATGCAAGGAACTTCCACATACACTGCACAAGAGTTGTCTTCTTATATCAACATTTCCACCTCAATGATTCAGGTGTTTACAATAAAATTCTTGTATACACAACTACCAGTACTCTCTGCCTGAGAAACTTAAACCAGACATTCAAATTTTCAAACTTAAAATAAACTCCAGCTAGACATTAATTGTGACTTACAACTTTTCATCTACTTTAACCACAGACCATAAAAAATGTGCACTTACCTCATGTATCTGGTCATACTAATTGTAAACCTGCAACTCGAAACTATTCTCAGGAAAACTAGGAATCATCCAATTATGAGATAGTAACTCACAGTGTGCAATAAACTTGTTTCTACATTGAGAATCAGCTCAAATCTATTCACCAGAGTGGAATTTTTTCATAAGCAAAGATCAGCAGTTAAGAATAAAAAATATTTGAAGCTCAAACTCATACAAACCCATAAAAATTCAAGTGTTAAAATTTAAATACTATGCATGTCACACTAAAATAATCACATTCAGTGAAACCAAAACAGAGCAACTACAATGGCATGTTCATTACAGCAACAAAACAGCACTAGAACTGACAATTTCTTAACACTACATATGTGAGAAACTATCAAAAAAAGCAGGGACTTTTCCAGCATAGTTGCCATAATGAGTGATTCATAATTATCGACCACAGTTTTCACACATTTGGCTCCAAATGTATCTGCATCTTCCTTCTGAAGTTATGTGTGGCCGGCAGTCCAGAAAAGTCCTGTCAACCCACCCTCTGCCCTATCCTTGTCAAGGAGAAAGTATGCATTCCAGAATGTCAATTAAAGCAGTTTATAACCTCCAAGTTGTATTCATCAAGAAATCTACATCATGTGATATCCTCCAAATTTCCTCTTCATTCCAGTATTTCACTGAGTACTGAATCACTTGACTAGTTACATTCTACTATAGTTCAAGGAGGCACCATGCAGAACCTTCCTCTCCTTGTCACAGAGGTTTCCCTCGCCCTGAGCTTCCATTGGACTAGGTTCAATGATGATATCACAGAATACAACTACATGGGTTTAAGGTTTTGTCCTGACCTAGAACTACTATGTTTCAGTTGGTGTCAAATGCGATTTTTTTAAAAAAATCTCAATTATGGCAATGGAACAGAAAACCTTAGACCTAAATGCCAAGCTTGAAATAATGTATCTATGCAAAGTCAGCAGCTCATCAAAAAGCAAAACATGAAGGTGGCATGGATTAACTTTTTTGACATTATTTATAATAATGAAGAAGCGAAAATATGATACATACTGAACCTAAGGAAACTAACATTCTTATCGGTATCTTTATTTGGCAATCTCAGTCTGCAACTGTGTGATAAATATGAGACCTCAGTCACCAGTGTAAAATCACAGGTGCATGAATTACAGATGGTACTACAAATCTTACCCACATGTTATAATGTGGGTCACTTCCAATATTAATGTAACTTGAATATGTTCATTTCATTAAGTTATGAAATTAAACAATTACAGGAAAATGTACAGTTTATATGGCACTATAAAGGCTGTTACATAACTATCTCTTACAACCCAAAAAGTATTCAGCATGTATTCCAACCATGGCATTTAGAACCATTCATACTATACTAGCATATGTGGGTAAGTACAGTATTAGTGTCATTTAACACTTTGCAGATCGGTGGCATATTTTTATGCCCATCGCTTTTAAACATGGCAGACCGGTGGCATATTATTATGATTTTAGGACACATTATGTTGAAACACACTATACCTTGCACTGGCGCCAGGCATGACTGGTGCGTGATAGACCTCTTGAATGTTTTCTCTGTAGTCAGTAACTTGATCTCGCTGTTTTCTTAACCCACTATAAACGAAAATGCTTTGCTCCTCTTCAAGCTGTGTGTGTCAGCCAGTAGTTAGTGGTGGGGTATGGACAAGGACAAATTCTTCTCCGATGAGACAGCTGACCTGCCTTGTGAGACGCGTAGTTATGGTGATTGAGAGAGGGGCAGTGACAGGGGAGAACAAAGAATTGTGGCCAGACAGTAAAAGTGACCGTAGCTCTGACGATAATGGGGATAATAACATTGCGGGGACACTAACAAATCTAAAAAATCTAAACCCTGATTCGAAATTGAAATACAAAGCATTTCTGACAAATGTTGCAAAGGCCTGGGCTACAGACCAGATGGTGGCGGCAGAACCAGAGACACACGGAGACTTAGTGCGACCGGGCCCATACACTCCCACCCCACGCAGGTCTCATGTGGACCCCCCAGGGCGACTCTCGGGTGATATACAGAAACATACCCTCGTGAAAATAGTGAAGATTGAACAGTCCAAGGGAAAGCATCCTTCTAGGCAATGCCGTGTTTCCACAGTTCACAAAAAAAGGAGTATGTCTACATTTGCAAGTTCTGTGTAATGCCACTTCACAAAGGGGAATGTTTCCAGAAATATCCCACTCTCAAGCACTTCTAGGAGCATTGGTAAGTGTTCTCCAAAAATTTTAGTTCATAAAATTAATTAGGAGATTTTATTTTAATTTTTAAAGTGAACAGTGCACAAGTTAGGGTAGTAGGTTTAAAAATGCCAGTCCACAGAGTGATTTAAATATTTAAATTGCCGGTCCGCAAAGTGTTAAAATGCTTCATATATTACATCTGTTATTGAAAGTCAATGCATTTATTCCCATGTATGTATCTACTAAGAATTATTGGCAGAAAATGGGTGGGACTTGTGAGCATATAGCAGATGGGACTCTCGCTCATAAGAGCAGTTCCTAATCAGCAATTGTTGTTTGAGAGCAGAGAAAGTTTATGAAAAAAAAAACCTTTAACGCTTTGGTTTAGATAACGCTAATAACAACACAAGCAATGAATCATGAATATTCAACATAAAAAAGAAACATTCTTCATTATTTTCATATTCCCATAACCACTCCAAAGAAAAAATATTGTCGTAGGCACATTAGTATTCAAATTTTGATGCCACACTGCACATTATAAGTAAATTGGAAGTTAGGAGATAAACATACAGTTATACATTATGAGATACTATGGATATTCATTAGAATAATCGTTTTTGCAAATTCTGTAATTCTTGTAATATTCACATTGTATTGCACTTCATAATTACATCTTACTGCAACAGTAACAATACAGCCATTACTTTAAAGCCATCACAGTACAACTGCACATGCAAAATTATAGCAAGATATTAAAAGCAACTAAACAGAATTACAACAACAGAAAACTTCCAAAGTTAATGGTGAACAAGCACAATGAACACAAGGAAAGAGTTTATTATTTCACATTAACTTATTTTTCTTGTTTTCTTTTAACCCTTTGACTGCCATACAGAAAATATCTCTTTGCCTAGGATATTACAGTCTGTAAACTAAGCTAAGTTTTATGTACCTTCTCTCCTTCAAGTGTATTGTTTCTGGAGAGAGGTGAATATTAAGGTACCTGTTACTGTGAGAGTACATCCCATTGTTGACATTGTCAATGCTATGGACAAATAGCACTCTTTAAGAGCAAAAACTGCTTTATACAGAACTTCCTCCTGCCAGGATGAGTCATCAATGACCTTCCCGAGTTTACATATTTTTAAGATAATTGCATTATTTAATATCAGTGTTATTTTACAAATAGAAGTGATGATGAAGGTTAAACCCTAATTTCAAGCAAAAAAACATGCAAAACAGCATTAAGCACATATACATACAATTTAACCCAGAGGAATATAACATGCCATTGTACCAGCAATGAAAATGTGTGCTATATACACATCTTAAATTAATTTAGCAAACTACATGATAAAAAATAATCACACCCTGCTCTTGCACACATCTCATTATTGCTGAAAGATGGTTTGCATACAATGGACACAGTTGGAGAATGGTTCAATACCTTCTGCACTGGAATTTGACAGTACTGCAATATACAATTCTTTGTATTTTTTTGTATGACAAGTGTTCTGAAAGTATTGCACTACTTTTGGATTACCTTGCATATCAGTTACTAACAGATCATATTCACATGTGGTGATAAAAGAAAAAGTTTGCCATTGCATACAGGTCACACTGATATTTAAGGAAGGAGATCTGGTACTATTAATATTCCATAAGAATTTCTGTTGAACTGGTGTTAAAAATTTCCATTTCAGAATGCACACACTATTCAGTCAGCACAGTCACAATTCATGCACTTGTATTTATTTTCAGCAGTTATCCCTTTTACTTTTGGGTTGACCAAAGTTTGGAATGACATCATCTATAGCCTTCAGCAATATGTGTAAAGTATGTGGGGCCAGAACAATATCTTGATAAGTTAACAATGACTGAATATGCAGAGGGAAACCACATCACAGCAACAAGAAAAATCAGTAAGTGAAAGACATTGTACATACTTTCTCATACAGGATTGACCTAGAGTATGCTACCTTGGAAATCAAACTGGTTGTTGATCAGTAGACCACTGGTGGTTGCTGAATACCAAACAACAATGAAATCTGCCCCACTGGTAAAGCTGGTTTCAAGAGAATCAACATTTTGAATTTTGGCCTCTAGTGTATGTACTACTATTCCCTCAAGATACCAACTATAGAGATTTATTTAGCGAGGTTGCCTCCATAAACTACTGAAATTCAATCAACATCATTGGCCATTTTTGAGAAAACTGACATATTTTTGGGACCTTATTTTTCTTACCTCAAATGTTCATATTCAGTGGGCAGACATATGACGGGTAAACTTTTAAATGCCAAATATTAATAAACACATCCAACCATTCAATGCTAGTGAGGTACACATCTGTATATACAAACAGACAAAGAGATGATATTTCAAAAACCACTTTTTCATATTCAGGGGTGCTGAAGATGTGTACACTGTCAAAATTTCAAGACTTATATTTTCACCATCACAATACTTCCTTGTACATACTGAGTATGTGAGAAAGTACGAAAGTTGGATGTCAATGAAACACTGGAGACACCTGAATACAGATGAATAAATATTTATCATGTGTAACTTCAGTTTTCAATATTTTAGCCAGGTTATGCTGAAACTCTTTCAATGTTTTCAAGTACACTGCAGTCACTGTCTACCAGTTGGAAGTAGAAGCAACCAAAATACAGCAAACTTATCATTATTAGGCATGTATGGAGAATGGGGTCTGCTAGCTACATAAAACTGTCAGTTGCATAACAAAAGCTCTTACAGAACCCAATACAAAATGAAGACAATGCATTTTCACTTTAGTTCCTACATGGGAGTCTTCATAAGTGACCTAGCGGTTAAATTCAAATACCATCTACTGAAATAGCACCTATGTGACGAAGGATGGCCAGCACTGGTAGTTGTAGCTGGGAGAACTACTTCAAAATTTCCGTCACATGAATGAGAAATTCTGGATGCTTGGATACTGACCAACCACAAGCTCGCTGTATTTATAGATTCTGCCGTGAAGGTAAAAGTGGGGGGATAAAGTAAGGTGTCATCCAAAGGGAAGGGTCTATGTGGTTAAATGGAATGGTTGAAGGAAAAGATGTCAAGCAAAATCTTCATTCTAATGGATGAAACTGTTTGAGAGTCTGATCGTTTCAATGACTTTCCTAACGATCCAGGAACAACAAATGTGGTTGAGAACTGAGGATTTCACTGCAGTGCAATACTCATTGGGTCTTGTTGATGTGATGCCGTGTAGGCTGGTAGATGGTTACCAGCATTTCAGAGGAACCTGTTGCCTTCAACTTCAGGGCTGTAGTGGTTCAGTGACTGTCAGTTCTCTAGTCTTGTCTCTCTCATATGATCTGATATTTCAGTGGATGCATGATGGCCGGTTTAACCAATGCACCACTCTGCCTCAAGCACTGGGGACATCATAAATGCCAAGACTTTGTGCTAGGGACTGTTTGTTCTTCATTGATCTGAGACAGCAATCAATATGGTTTAATCTCCAAGGAATGCATCCTGTTGTGTTAACTTATATTGATTGTTTATTCATCACAACACAACAACCCTCATTCACATCAACTGTGTGGAACAAGTTTATTGATTTCAATAATATCCTGCTACATATTTCAGCTTATGAAAAGCCATCATCAGGCAGAATAAGTTATTAGTGTATACTTACCTGATGACAGCTTTTCATAAGCTGAAACATGTAGTAAAATACTGAAATCAATAATCTCATTATACACAGTTAATGTGGAAGAGATTCTGAGGGTTGTTGTGTTGTGACAGATAAACAAACAATTAGTACAGTTTGGTTTAGTTCTTTCCTGAGTTTCCTGATATATGGGATATATGCCACATGATATCACTCATCCATTTTTCCATTACCATCACTGTTCTTGTTTTTCTTAACAGCTCAAGAGTCTTTCGTAATGTTGTTCTAGGAGAAACCACAGGCTAGGAGAATGGAGTTACTATGCCGTGGTTTAGAGGCCTGGCTGGATTAGTAGCAGAATCTTCCTGCCCTGTCCATCTGTATACATGTGTGAGTCTCCTCTCTACTAGCTGTCATATTCATGATAAATTTCTACAACAAAGCCAACAGAACTGTGCTCATGAAAATAAAATGCTGGCATAAATGTGCGAATGATACATTCACTATTTGGCCATACATACCATCTGCCCTAAGAGACTGTGACCATGTGAAATCCAAACATTCCAAATCAATCAGCATTACTGGGCTCTTAGACTTTGTCCATTGTCCAGCATTATAAAAATCTAGAGAACATGTTTTGGAAACTTGGCCTGTTTCCATCCTCAGGTGAGGCAGAAGATACCTCCTCTGTTGAATCCCTTAGAAAGAGCCAACCTCAGTCACTGGACAACCCATGTCAGCATAACTACAGCTACATGCATACCTGACAACAGGCTTTGTCAAAGGGAGATTACATCTTTCTAAGGGACCTAACAGAGCAGGTGTCCCCCCTTCTTTTTAACTTGAGGACAGAAACAGATCCACCTTCCAAAACATTGTGTTCTCTTGTTACCTCCCTTCAAGAAAGCCTGGTCTCACATATGTATAGAGCTGTAGTTATGCTGACATAATGGGATAGGTGTCTCCCCTCTCACCTGAGGAGGGAAAGAGATCCAGTTTCCAAGACGCTGTCTTTTCTAGTTTTTTAAAATACCAGACAATGAACACAGTCCAAAAACCCAGTAATTCTGAGTGTTATTTATACAGCATCATTAAGATCCATGCTCACCAAGGAACCTGATATAAACAATCTTAGTCCAAGAAAGACAAACAGCCCCAACACAAAACTAGCACTTATAAAATACCCTGCAGCCAAACCATCCATCACATACCTTCTTAGAATATGAGAACATATAAGGGACACCTGACTAGCGAACAAATGATCAGGAGCAGCAGCCAAGATCAAACACAGTGCTGACTCTGTCAAAACTGAAGCCCTAATAAACATTCATACTTTCCAGCTCCATAACATCAAAGGAGCCAATGAAACAGTCGGATATAAACTGAGGGAAGTCTTGACACCATCCCCTTTCCTCTAACCATTCTTCTTAACCGCACAGCCCCTTCCCACTGCATAGCACAACACTCCATAATCCTACTCTCAATCCAACTGTGAGACCCATACATTAATCTGTTTTCTTTTTCCACTTTTCAGCCACTCTAAAGATGGTACTGCAATGCATGCCAAAATATGACAACAGTTTCAATATATGAAGCAACTAAACCTCAAAAATTGAAATTATACAACAGATACAGACCATAAGAACCAAAACACAAAAATGTTCCTCATGCTCATCATTCTGAGATTTAAAAGTACATCACTTCTAGAGGTCAAAAGAGGAAAATGGTTGTAATGTTTCTAAAAAGAAAGCATCAGTTTAAAGCCAGTGAAATAGATTGCAGTGTTAAAAATTCCAATGGTGGAGTTCACAGCAAGTCAGAAAGATTTAATCAAGCCTACATTTTCAATAAGACCATGCACCTTTATTCAGCTGTGTTTCTCTTACTCTTGTGGAGTTATATTAATATTATATTACATGTTTCCAATGAACATCTTTGTTTGGAATTCCTGAATAATTATTAGAAGTGGCAACTTTAGCGGATAGAGAGTGTCACGTGGGCAGCACAATGAATCCCCATGGCCATTAAATTTCGACTTTCTAGAATGGAGCTGCTACTTTTCCAATCAAGTAGCTCCTCCATTATCCTCACGAGGATGAGTGGACGCTGTTCCAGACCCGCTAACTTCGCTGACAAGCAGTGGTCACTCGGTCAGTATAGTTTGCTTGCAGACTAAACCCAGTATTTTTTTATAAGAAGTATTTAATGACATATCTCACTGCATGTAAATGCAGTGCTTTTAGCAGTTCAATGGCAGAAGTAAAGTACCATGAAATGGTTCATTCAAATATGTTTTATATTTCACCATAAAAAGAAACCCTGATTTAAAATGCTATTTTAATATTTCTTTTTGTTTTTCATTAAAACATTTTACAACTGGCCTCTCAATTTCAGTGACTTACTTTACTGCTGTAAGAGTCACATGAACTAATGGCTTGTACATTAAATCAGACGCCTTGCAAAAGGTGCATATCATTTTTTTCAGCATTTCACAAACGAGAACTTGTGCTGAAGTCATGCCCTTAACCCTGAATGGAAAGTGTGACCTACATGCATGCAAATACACCATAAGACACCATAGCCGGGAATGCTGGAAAAACACACCACTGGCAATCTTCACATGCAATCCACATCATGAATACCTTAATAAAGCCACGCAGTGGCAGATCTTCCATCAAGATGTTAAAGTTGTAGTGTTCAGAAGCACACAGGATCAAGGCTTCAGAAGTAGAACTGTTGTGCAGAAGAATTACACGAAACTTCTTCCTGTGAAAAAAACACACATTTTAAATAACTCCATGGTAAAAAGTATCCCTTCAGCAGTCAGTGGTTATTCCGATCATGAAATTTCCTGTTACAGAATCTAGAGGGTTATCACCTTAACATTTTTTTACCATTTCACAGTTTTGCTGGTGATTAGCAGTGGAAAACTGAAGAAAATCAGAAAAAAATGTGCTCCTGTGTAAATTTCTTTCAAAGGTAATGCAGATAAATATTTCTCAGAATTTTTCAAAATGTTGGTGGCCCAACTAAACATTATGATTTCTAAGTAATGTAATAGGACTTCAATGTGTTAGCATTAACATCTTTAATACACTGAACAACTTTCCTGTGCACAAATTAAGTCACTTTCTTTCAGCAAAAAGGTACATATGAAGGGGGACCCAAAAATAACCGGAAACGACCTGTTGCGCGCGCATGCATTGTAGTTACGAGTTGTGCTGCTAGGTGGTGTTAGCTGGGGGTCTCCCGCGACTGTTAGTGAGCTGGCGTCAGTCTGAGTTAAGTGGTTTGTCTGTGGTGCTCTGTTGTGTGCGTTCCTGTTTCAACCCTTAGGCGATTAGTGAGATGGCCGACCAGAAGGAACAAAGAGTGTGCGTGAAATTTTGCTTTCTGTTAGGGAAAACTGCA